AAAAAAAAAAAGGCAACATCTCAGTAAATAGAATGTACAAAAATTATATGTTCTACCATCACACACAGTCAGTAAGAAGCTAAAATATTACAGGCAAGTCTCGATACGCTCTACCTAAGAGGACAGGAGCTATCTATGTACAGGGAACCAGCTTTACAGGCTTCACACTATGCAAGAGGACAGAGGCCAACACAAACCCCCCAAAATATTGGATATCTCAAAGTCTATGCGGCAACATCAAGTCATGATACAGTAATGCCCCGTGGAATCAGACACTCCTCGTAGTGCCAGGGCTGAATCTGCGTCCAAAAACTCTTCCAAACCAACTCCGGTGAATATCGACGCTTCGCTATTAAAGACTCGAGTGATCTCCTTAAAATAACATTTCACAGAATCTACAAAGTTTGTTACAGATAAACAAAGTCTACAGAAAGAACGACTCTACAAAGGTCCATCTTACAGAGCACGTGGGGATGGAGACGGATCCGCGGGGATCTGCGTTGTGCAACATCACTGCTGAGGAAACAGACGGGCTGGGGTCCTCAGAGCACCCCAAATGCAACCCCCAACCCCTGGCTTAGATGGGACAGGATCACCCTGGGGGCTTGGTGGAAAAGTGACACCAAAATGAGATACAGATCCACCTGGAACAGGGAGTGTAGGGGTTTGTCTGGTCTGGTTATGACCCAAAAGCGAGAGAGAACTGCAAGGTGGGACCCCAGGCAAGAACCCACTGAACTTACAAACACTGGCATCTCCAGAGGCAGCTGAGATCTCCAGAGGGACCCCAGGCAGCTGGCACCTCCAGAGGAACCCATGCAGATGGCATCTCAGAGGGACCCCCACAGCTGCCTGGCCCTGGAGCTGGTGGTGGTGGCACAGCCCCGGGGCACAGGGAGTGGTAAATGGCTTTGGCAAATTCACACACGTTTTCCCTTTTTTATTCACATTAAGCACAGAAATCCCCTACACAAAGCACAGTTCCAGCTCCCTCTCTGGAGCAGCAGGACCCCTCCCCAGGGGAACACAGACCTGAGCTGCTCACTGGGAAATACAATATCACAGGAAACAACCTTACTTTTCTTCCTGGTTTTGCCTTTTTCTCTTCCTCCTTTTTCCCTCAGAACAACACTGGGAATACATCCAACGTGTAGGAGTGTATCTTAAGTGCAAATGTTTTTGCTACACAAAGAGAAATGGTGGGGAAAGCTGATGGGGATGGGAAGCAAAGGGACAGCACTGCTCCAAGGTCAACGTCTCCCACGCAACACCTGGTGAGCACAAACCTCCCAAACCCTCCTGTTTGCCATGGATCCACTGCACAGCAGGAGCAGGAAGGAATTTGGGGGGAAGTCAAGGACATTTTTCAATGCAATATACAAAAAAAAAAAAAAAAACCAAAAGATCATGTATAAATAAAAAAAGCTGTAAAAGGAACTGCAGAGCTTCAAGTACATTAAACCCTGAATTCAATGAGGCAGAGGTTTCCATGTTAAAGTGACTTCTCCGTACCAGCGTCGGACACCCCCATCCCACCCTCCCCCCTTCCCCTCCCACATAATTCTGTAAAGTTTCAATATATACAGATTTTATGCTCATTGATAGTTATGTCTAGTAATTGTGTCTTTCCCATTCTATCCTGAAATTAAGATAAAAGAAGGGTTTTTTTAAGAAGAAAGGCCAAAAATCCACATTCCAGCCCTATTACTCCATTTGAACTGATTCTCCAAGACCATGTGGTGACCAGAGAAGGTGATTTGCCCACAAAATTTCCTTCCTGAGCTTCAACAGCCTATGGACAGGACAATCTATACAATAATCTGACAGTTACAACAGATAATGTGTTCAGGAATGGTGGAACCAGCCCCTGCACCACTGGAATCACAGAATTGTGGAATTTTGCTTCTAAATGCATCTGGCCACAGGTGCAGCTGCAGAGGAGAAGCTCCAATAAACCACAAACCCTGTTCCCTGGGCAGGGCAATGCCCAGGTGCCAGAGATGGAGGCAGGAGGTCACCACAAGTGTGGGGCCACCCCAAAAATGTAACAAGAAAATAGGTGAAAAACGTGTCAATGTGTTCCCATGAAGGAAAAACGATGTGCTGGGACAGCACACTGTAATTCTCCACCAAAATTACCAGTTCTGTGGATTTCCCCTAGGTCTCAGCATGAAATGACCCAACTACCCAAGATTCCTTATTTTGGAGCCCACACAAATGAATTCAGCAGCTGCCTCCCACTCTGCTGAAGCCAATCCATCAGAACAGCTGTGCAATCTTTTCCTTACAAAGGAGCTGCACTAAGCAACTGCATTCTGGTTACTCAGCTTACAAAGATGTGGTTAAAATGCACATTTTAGCATCTGAACCTGGCACTCACAACAGTCACCAAGATCCTCTGAACTGGGTTGTTCTCAATGTTAAAGCTTTTTGAAAGACTCACCTTCTCTTCAGTTCAGAGTTTTGTTCACAAACTAAACAACCTCTCCTGTTTTCCCCCCTGAGTCCAAGCCCAGCTGCTATGAATCACTTTTTGGTGGAAAACGAAGCATCTTTAAGAAGTCTGAACACAAAGTGAGCCAAGACATGGAGTGGCACAGGAGGAGCAGCAGCCTCCCATCACAGCATTTGAGGAGTTTAAAGCCTTCTGTGCCCTGGCACAGCACTGTGGCACTGCCAGGGTGGCCACTGCCAGTTTGTGCTCCTGTCCAATGCTCCCAAGGTGTCCTGGTGCTGCCACACCACGTCCCTCTGCTCAGCAGGTCACCACGGACACAATAAATGGAGCAGGCTGGGGCACTCACACAGCAGCACAGTACCAGCAACATATCTGATATATATATACATATTTTTATACATATATATATATAAAATATATCAGCTGATAGCTGCAATCAGATGCTCTGACTTCAGAGAAAATCACTGAACATTATCAAGCCTAACAAAGAATATAAAGTGAACACCTCAGGCCTTACAGACGTGGTAGCAAGAGCTGTGTTTGGAATTTCTGAGAAGGTTAAACATCCTCAATAAGAGCATAAAAAGAGACATTTCTCACACAAAACGTTAAGAAAAATAAAATCCTTTTTGTACCTTATTTTTTTTTTCTTTAAAAATACCAAAATCCAGCAGGGTTAGTGTTGGAGCCTGGCTGGAGCATGGCCCACAGCAGGAAGTGCTTTAGGGGTCCCAAAGCTGCTGGCCCAGGTCTGGCACCCCAGGGGAGCTGTGGGCAGCTGCTCAGGGACTGTAGTGTATCCATCACTGATTGCACACACAAAAAACTCCCCCTGCACACCAGTGTGAGGATGAGGAGGACACCAGGCAGAGGCAAGACACGGTCTAAATTCCACACAGATTTTTTTTTTCCTTGATCTGAGAAGTCTCTGTGTTCCCACAGGTTTGTGTCAGCAGTTTTCCAGAGACAAGGTTCTTAATTCCAAGGCTCAGATGCCAGCAAGATTTGATTATTTTCAGTACCCACGAGCAGAGGCTGGCAGGGAGTAGCTGTTATCAGTACACAAGGCAGAAGTAGTCACTGTACCAGGGCAGGGGAGGGGACAGTGCTTGGTGAGATTGTGGGCTGAGGGGGAAGAGTCACCAAAACTAACTGGGGACACCAGTGCCCTGTGGCTCCTTGCACAAAAAAAATGGAGGAATAGAGGTTTTCTAAAAAAATTCTGGAGCAAGAGGCAACCTAAGCCACCTTGAAAGCCTCACTGAAGGAGTCTGTCTCTCTGATTAACAGAGGAAATTCAAGACAGAATCATCTCCTGAGGCATCAGCTGGCTGCTGGGATATGGCCCCTTACCCAGACACAAAATACCCTGTTCATTGAGGAAGTGCTGAGATGTTCCTCAGCTCCATTAACAATGAAGATTAAAGTTAGAAGATCTCTCTCTCTCAACAAAAAAATATTAACACTCCATTAAAACCAACATGCACATGGGTCAGGTCCCTCACGTGGCCAAGTCTCCCTGAAGCCAAGGGGAGCCTGAGAAGGCAGGACTGAAGAATCACTCAGGAACTGCCACCAAACCAGGTGAGGAAGCCACTGGCAGGGCTGCCTTCAGCTCTGACTGAGGCTGGGAGGGGTTTCCAAAATATAGGTGGGATACAGGAATGACCACTGTGCAATTAAACTCTGAATTTTTGCATGTCTGCAAACACCCAAGACAGCTCTGGAGCATTTCCTCCTCACTGCCAGACCTTGTGTTACGAGCACTTCCCAGAAGTCACACACCTGATTTCTCACAGGAAAAGCTTCACAATAATATTCAGAAGTAAACATGAGAGACAACCTACCTTCTCCAATGCCTTTACCAATAAGTAGTGGAACAGAGGCATTGCAGAGCCACCTGGTCTGACACCCACACCTGTCTGTTTGGCATCTCAGTGTTACAGAGGGGACAGGCTTTGCTCTTTCCATAAACTAGACACAAAAGTTACGTTGGCTTCGCTGTTTTGTTTTTAAAGACACGATGACCGATCAAAGCCAGATCTTCAACACCCTTTCAAAATTAAATAAATAAATATGTGGCTATGCTTTGCTTTCTACACTCAAAGAACATTATTTTAAACAGAATATTCTTTTCACTGTCAAAAGTGTTACGGTTTTCTTCAAAGGCCAAGACGCTCCTGGTTTCCAACAGTAAGAGCTGCTGTAGCACATTCAAGGGTAAAAGAAAGACCAAACAATAAAAACCAAACACCACTGCCTGGTCCTTCTCGCTCAGCTCAATGGTCCCATTCCAGCTCACACGCCACGGCTCCGAGGACAAAGCCGAGTGTGGCGCTGCAAACTCCGAGTTCATCGCCTGCTGCCCCTCTTCTCCCCTCCCGTGTTTGTTTTTAACCCAAATTCACTCCTTTGCCTCTTCCACAGCATTCTGTGCTTCCAATTTGCACTTGATCTTGCTCCAGTACTCGGGTGCCACAGGAGATTTGGGGTCGTGGGCGGAGCAGCAGAGGCGGCCGTCCAGCGCCGACGGCACCAGGGCTCCCTTCTCGTGATCCTTGCAGAAGGAGTGGGGGCAAAACTCACAGAAGGACACGGCAGGATTGCTACAGATGTCACACTGATGCCATGGACACTCCCACTTTCCTGAGGAGGGGAGGAGAGAGAGCAAGGAGCTGGAATTAGTGCACTTTGGAGACAGCGCTGGCCTTTAAGCCTCACTCCGTGCTCAGAGGAGTGCAAACAAAGTTCAGAAAAATCAGCCACTACTTCTGCTTCTCATGTACAAGAATCTGACTGAACACAGTTCTGTTCTGCATTTTTTAGACAAAAAGGTAATGTTCATGTTTCAATCAAAATAAGAGGAAGTTTGATTGATTCAAGGAGAGGAACAAGAGCAACATTAAACATATGACAAAGCCTCTGCCCACCAGTTCCATTTAGGAACAGTCACCTGATGTACTGCTAAAAGTGAGTGGTATTGCAAAAGCAAATTTGGTGCAAATGAATACTGCATTTAATGTAAGTGAACACTGTATTTTATGTACACGAATGCTGCATTTCATCTCCAACACTGTCTTGTAGCAGGAAGGAGAAGCTGAGCAGGAGGAGCCACTGTTCTTACCAAAAGGTGGTTGAGTCAGGTTAAGGCATAGGAGGTGGTATGCTTTGGGACAGTCCTTCTTATCACACATGACCAGCTCTCCCCCATCTCCACACTGGAAACAGTTATCTTCATGCATCTGCTTCTGTTCTGTTTTTATTTTCCGTTTCTTCTGCTTTAGTTTTGCGTTTTTCACCTTCTCTTCATTTGCCGATGCAAATGCTGTCTGAGAAGGAGAAAACAACAACACAGAGTCACTTATAAACCCTCAGCATTCAAGTACATTTTGGGTAATTATTTGCATGAATTCTTTTTAAATGAGACCCATTTAAAATAGTTTTTAAGCTCTAAAAGCCAGAAGTGCTCATTCAGATGTTTATGAATTAACTTCCTGCCAGATACAACAGCATGGCAGGGCAGCCTATAGAATCTTTGGAGACTTCCAAGGGTAGAAAGTATTATGCTAAATAAATAAATATTTTGAAATAAATCCAAACCCTCTTTGCCCTAGAGAATCTCTGGGTTTGGGAGGAGAAGCTCCAGCTCCAGCCATGTACCTTGGGCCGCACTCCCAGGAAGCCGCTGCAGTTTTCTGCTCCGCAGTGACACTCGGTCCTGCCATTGCCCAGGCAATCCAGGTTGTAATTGAATGTTAATTCCATTCCTGAAATGTAAAGAAAAACAATTCACCCACATGGACACTGAGGGAAGACAGGCCTGTGACAATGACATTTCATTAGCATTTGTTACCATGAGACCCCTGCTAAAAGTGGAACCTTAAGTATCATCTCCACTCCAATGAATGAAAAGTTCCTAAACACTTCACTGGTATTAATCACTTCAAAGAAAAAGCCATGATTCTAAGTGAGGAACTTGGCCACTGCAAGACAAAAGCAAACATGCCAAATAGAGCCATGCTTTTACCTGCAGGAATGTCACAAAGAGCAAACAGTCCAACTCTAATGTCACCATTCACTGTCCACTTCTGTGTTTCACAGTTTGGGTTACAACTATGGTTCATAAAACGAGAGTAGTTCCCCTTTGGGCCAGCATCTATTATTCGGTCCTTCATGAAAAAAGACAAAAGATGTGTTTAGTGCTTACAAAGTAAAGAGTTTTCCTGCTGCTGAGTGATATTTGCTATCAAACAAGACACAATATTCACCTTAGTTACAGTCAGCATATAAAAATTGGTGACACTGTTCTCGTGAGCACGTTTGATCCGCAGCCGGCACTCCTCCTCGTCAATCAGCTCCCCAACGTATTCATTCACAAATTCACCCTGCAAACAAGAACAAAAGTAAGTCATCTCTGCATCCTAAGCACAATCATAAAGGGAAGCAGCACAGAAAAAAACATTTCCTATAAAAAAAGACTCTGATCATCACAGAAAATGTTACACTTTACTGGTCTGGTAGGCACAGTGTGAATACATGCACCAGGTAATTGCTGTCCTAGAATTACACCCAGGCAGAATAAAAGGCAGCCCTGCTCCTGCATTCAGTACACAAGACAGCTGTCAGGTCTATAAAACCCTTTCAAATTTCCCACTTTCTTTCAAAGAGGACAATGTGACAATATTCACAGATTCCCCAGGAAACAGGAACTGTTACAGTAAGTATTTTCACTACATTTCTTTTATTAGGACTTTAGTAGTCAATAGGCTCAGAACATTTGCAGTAGCACAGTTTTCATGAAACACAGATTTTAAAAGTTCTGAATTTAATAAAACTAATGGCTAAACCCCATGTTTAAAAGCAACCCTTCAGGCCTGCTTTTTCCAGAAAATATGACTGTGACAGTGCAGAATGCAATGCTTTCACCCAGACCCACCCTGATGGCTGTCACAGCCCTGCCCTGGCTCACTGCACTGTCACTGTCATATTTTCTGGAAAAATCTCTTTGCCCAGGACTTTGCTCCTGAGAAGCCTCAGAGAAAAATGAAAACAATATGATCTCATTTGTTTCTCTTGTGTTTGGCTGCTTTGGAATGTGTTTGGAGATTGTTTCATTGGTTTCACATATATTGTTTTTGACTTATTCGCCAACTGGGGCCAAGCTGTGTCAGACTCTGGGGACAGAATCACGAGTTGCAATTATTATCTTTTAGCCTTCTGTCTGTATCCTTTCTGTATTCTTTAGTATAGCTTAGTTTAGTATTCTTTACTATAATAAAGATAATAAAATAATAAGTCAGCCTTCTAAGAACATGGAGTCAGATTCATCATTCCTCCCTTTGTTGGGGGTTGTTGTGTTGTGAGGTCTCCAGGATGAGGTGAGAGATGAGAATTTGACTCCATGTTCTTAGAAGACTGATAATAATAAATGATATTATATTATACTTTATTATACAATACACTAAAACTATACTAAAGAAAGAAAAAGGAGATAACAGAAGGCTACAACAAGAATGAACAATAAAAACCCATGACAGACCAGAGTTCCAACACAGCTGGACTGGGATTGGTCATTAAATCAATACAATTCACATGGAACCAATCCAAGATGCAACTGTCGGTGAGCAACCTCTAGAAAACATTCCAAAGCAATACTTATTTTCTGAGACTTCTCATCAGAAAAATCCTGGGCAGAGAAGATTTTTCAGCAAATACAACACCGAACCTTTTTGATGCTCCTCTTGGTGCGCAGGCCCCAACCGCGGCGCTCGGTTTTGATGATCTCAGCGTCGGGGTAGAGCCTCTTGGTGAAGCACTGGTTCTGGCAGCGCTCTCCAGCTGGGCACACCTGAGGGTGGCACTCGTACTGCAGCATCCTGTTGAGGCACTCTGACTCCAGCCCACACGGGTTCTCATCTGAGGGCTTGCAGTTACAGCGCGGGATCTCCGACAGGTCTGCAACCTGGATCTGCACCTTCCCGATCACCTTGTTGGACTGGGGAGAAAAGGGCACAACAAGGCATGAAGGCAATGTAATGGGGACATAGAGTCAACAAATGACATGAAAAGGCAAAGAAAAATATTTTATTCTGTAAAAAATTATTTTATTCTGTGTTTTATTCTGTGTTTCCAGTTGGCCACCTGGATCTGCGCCTTCGCGATCATCTTGTTGGACTGGGGAGAAAAGGGCAGAACAAAGGATGAAAGGGAACACACTGGGAACACAGAGTCAACAAATGATACAAAAAAGCAAAGAAAAATTATTTTATTCTGTAAAAAATATTTAATTCTGTGTTTTATTCTGTGTTTTATTCTGTGTTTTATTCTGTGTTTCCAGTAGGCCACAAGGATCTGCACCTTCCCGATCACCTTGCTGGACTGGGAAGCAAAGGGCACAACAAGGCATGAAGGCAATGCACTGGGAATACAGAGTCAACAACTGACACCAAAATGCCAAGAAAAATTATTTTATTCTGTAAAAAATTATTTTATTCTGTGTTTTAGGGTACTGTAAAACACAACAAGAGATTAGTGAAAAGAACAGCAAAATTATTTATGTGAATTTCTTTAGGCTGAACACCTTGGTGTAGGTATATAACTTAGAAGCACACAACAGTGTGAGTTGGAAGGGACCTTAAAGAATGTCCACCCCAACCCCTGCCATGGGCAGGGACACCTTCCACTAGACCAGGCTGCTCTGATCCCCACCCAACCCACCCCTGAACACTGCCACACCTTCTCTAGGCATCCTTACTCATGCACATCCTTCCTCACACACAGCATAAAAATAAAATAGAAAGAGGCCAACTCACTTTAATGTGTTTATAGGGTGGAGGCTTCCTTGAATTCCTTTCAATTTCCAATGCCTCTTTGCTTTCTCTTTGTGCTTTCAGTTCCTGGAAACGCTTTGCTGCTTCTTCAAGTGCTGTGCAAGGAATTCAGAATAGAAAGCAATCAGTCCCAGTTGCTGCTAATCAACTATGTACATCTGTCTATTTTTTTTTTTAAGACTAGGAACAGAATTTTATTAACAAAAAGACAAGTTAAAATTAGTTATTGCAATTTATCATGAATTTATCAGCAGGTACCAACATACTGAACAATGATCCCATGCAGCAGAGCCCAAGATCCATCTCAACATTCCCCCACTGTGGAAGCACTGAACTGGCCCACAACAACACACAATGAGTAGGCACTTAAACACATTTTTATCTGCAGTCAAGGGATCAACACAATGCTTGGATTTCACGTGAACACAGAACACTAGTCACATAATATTCCCATGCAGGTTAAGTGGTGATGGAGACACAAACACGTGGAATTTTTGTCATAAACCACTATAAACTTTGTTTGATTTTACCTTTCTTGAAGGTCTTGTTAATACTAGTTTGCCCCTCAGCAAAGCTTTTATCTCCTTCAACATAAGGGAAAACTCTGCCCTGGTGTACCCAATAGTAGTCATGTGAACCAAAGAAAAATACTGGGAAGTCCCCGATATCATGTTTGAGGCCCTGTATGTTGAGAGGCACAGACCTGGGATTGCAGATCTCTGCTGGCCACCACCTGCAGAGTAGGAGAGAAAAGAAGAATGTAAGTTCCCTGAAGCAGAGCTTCCCAGTTTCCCTAATGGGATTGAGAAATAAAAGCCAGTTTTCCTTTCCTGGGAGGCTCCATGCAAAACACAAGCAATGTTCTTACTCCAAATTTTGGGAAAGACTTCTAAGCATATCCATGGCCTGAGAATGAGTTTCCAGGATCACCTGCAAGCACCTGTATTGCTGCAGCTGACCAAAGCAAACACCAGCAAGGACAGCTGGGCTCTGGCAGCCCCTGCTTTCCCACATCCTGACCACGCTCTGCAGAGCAAAGGTTCTGCAATCCAGAGTCCAGCACCTGGGAGAAGCTGCAGCATTCACATTTCATTCATATCTGACCCCAAGCAGAGGAATTATTGCATTTCTACTCCTGTTCATGATGACTGAGCTGCTTTATCTTCCTGCAAATTCCAGAGTGCATTAAAACATCCAAAAGTTGAACTTGCCTGTAATTCCCAAGCTTGACCCAAACGATCTGCTTGTACCGCAGCTTCTTGCCAGCTTTACAGTCATTGCAATTCCAGCAGCCCTCAGGCATTTCTATGCTCAGACACTCGGGGTGGAAGGAAGCTGGGCACGACTCACAGCACAACAGTTTGCCACCTTGAAACAAAGAAGCCCTGCTTGGTTTGTAGAAGTCAGGATTGGTAACCCCCGTGCACAGTAATTGATATTTATTTTAGATCATCCGCTCCAGATTTCCCACAGAAAAATGGCAAGAGAAAGGGATCAAGTCAAGCTTAACAATGTTGGTTAAAAAGGACTGTGCAGGGTTTAATCTAAGCTGGGGCTGCATCAGACAAAAAAGCAGCTGAGGATTCAAACAAGAGGTGAGCTGGCAGGAGGAGCACCATTGCCAAGGGAAGCACTGCAGCTGGGAACAGTGCTACCAGCTTTTGGTGATGGCCAAAGCAACCACAAAACTCCACATTTTTCAAGAATCCTTTTCAATCAACATTGCTCTGACTGAATCCCCAGCAATCATTAGCGAGCACCAACCCCATAGCCTATAGGTTGATCAATACTTTTCTGCTGCAAGGACAGGAAAAGGAGTTGTAATAAATGTGTTTATTCCACAAAAAGTTTACCAGGATAAGCCCAGTACATAAAGCAGAATGAGACACACATGAGTTGTCCCCATCCCAAAAATTCCTGGTGCACAGAGGGAACCTCAGCACTGGGGTTCACATGAATTTCTGAAGTTTACACTAATTTGGGAAAAAGTTATTTTGGTTGGCTCACATTTTGGACAATGTGTTAGATGTGGAGAGCCACAGCACAGCTCTAAGCCACCCTCAGCAAAGCAGCTCATGTAAGATGACATTACACATACTGTAATATTTCATACATGTAGGTATATAAAATATATATACATGTTCTTATATGTATATATATTTTAAAATTAACAAGATTTTGTCTCCCAGATGGAAAATCTGGGAGAGATTTGACAGTATTCAAACCAATTTTCAATCACAGTATCAAAAGAAGTGTGAATAGTCACTTTCAAACCTTTATCAGAAAATCTTGTTCACCTATAGACTTCCCAAAATATCGTTGCATTGATTGATCATTGCATGTTACAATAAGCATTCCTTAAACAATTCAGTTGCATGACCAACACTGTATTTCCTCTGCTAAAACCAGTAAAATCCAGTCACACGGATCCTCCAGAGCTCCCAAACCCATAACGAAATTTTTGAAGTATTTTTTGCAAATGCAATTTCAGAGGAAATACAGACAAATCACTGAAACATTATCCAAGATGAGAAAATGCCAAGAGATGCAAAAAATCAAACAAAATCAAACACAAAACTGTCAATGCTAAGCAAGAAAAAACCCAACATTGCTCTCGGGATGCATTAGGCAGATACGGCTCAAGCTAAGCACAGGGCTCAAAATAATTCTTGTTTTCAGGAATTACAGGACTACTGCAAGCCATTGATCTCACAACGCTGACAGCGACCTAACTTGGGCTGGGAAATGGGGCACCGGCTCTGAACGCTCCGGGGAACCAAAGTTCTGTGGGGAATGAAACACCAGAGCTGAGCATTGCACACAGACAGCAGGAACAGCCCCTCAGGGGCCTGGGGGCCTCAGTACCCTTGGCACCAGGAACTGCCCCACAGGGGCCTGGGGAGGAAATGGCAGCAGGAACTTCCCCAGAGGGATCTGGACAGCCTCAGTACCCTCAGCAGCAGGAACTGCCCCTCAGGGGTCTGGGGAGGAAATGGCAGCAGGAACTGCCCCAGAGGGATCTGGAGAGCCTCAATCCCCTGGGTAGCAGGAACTGCCCTCAGGGATGTGGGGAGCCTCAATCCCTTCAGCAGCAAGAACTGCCCCCAGGGACGGGGAGAGCTTCTGTCCCCTGGGTAGCAGGAACTGCCCCCAGAGGGATCTGGAGAGCCTCAGTCCCCTGGGTAGCAGGAACTGCCCTCAGCCCCCTTGGCACCAGGAACTGCCCCAGAGGGATCTGGGGAGCCTCAATCTCCTCAGCAGCAGGAACTGCCCCTCAGGGCTCTGGGGAAGAAATGGCAGCAGGAACTGCCCTCAGGGATCTGGAGAGCCTCAATCCCCTGGGTAGCAGGAACTGCCCTCAGCCCCCTTGGCACCAGGAACTGCCCCCAGAGGGGTCTGGGGAGCCTCAATCCCCTCAGCAGCAGGAACTGCCCCCCAGGGGTCTAGGGAGGAAACAGCAGCAAGAACTGCCCCCAGGGATCTGGAGAGCCTCAGTCCCCTGGGTAGCAGGAACTGCCCTCAGCCCCCTTGGCACCAAGAACTGTCTTGAGTCCCCTTGGCACCAGGAACTGCCCCTCTTTCCCTTGGCAGCAGGAGCTGCCCTGCAGGGATGTGGAGAGCCTCAGTACCCTCAGCAGCAGGAACTGCCCCTCAGGGGTCTGGGGAGGAAATGGCAGCAAGAACTGCCCCCAGGGATCTGGAGAGCCTCAATCCCCTCAGCAGCAGCAACCGCCCCACAGGGCTCTGGGGAGCCTCAATCCCTCAGCAGCAGGAACTGTCCCAGAGGGGTCTGGAGAGCCTCAGTTCCCTTGGCACCAGGAACTGGCCCCTCAGCCCCCTTGGCATCAGGAACTGCCTCCAGGGATCTGGAAAATCTCAGTCCCTCCAGCAGCAGGAACTGCCCCTCAGCCCCTTGGCACCAGAAATGCCCCCAGGGATCTGAAGAGTCTCACCCCCTCAGCAGCAGAAACTGCCCTGCAGGGATGTGGAGAACCTCAGTCCCCTTGGCAGCAGGAATTGTCCCTCTATCCCTCAGCACCAGGAACTGCCCCTCACCCCCTTGGAAGCAGGAACTGCCCCAGGGATCCAGAGAGCCTCACCCCCCTGGCACCAGGAACTGCCCCTCAGCAGCAGGAAGTGTCCCCAGGGATCTGGAGAGTTTCAGTCCCTTGGCACCAGGAACTGCCCCCAGGGATTTGGAGAGCCTCAGCAGCAAGAACTGTCCCAGGGATCTGGACAGCCTCACCCCCTTGGCACCAGGAACTGCCCCTCAGTCCCTCAGCAGCAGGAACTGCCCCCAGGGATCTGGAGAGCCTCACCCCCTTGGCACCAGGAACTGCTCCTCAGTCCCCTTGGCACCAGGAACTGCCCTGCAGGGATGTAGAGAGCCTCAGTCCCCTCAGCAGCAGAACTGTCCTGCAGGGGTCTGGAGAGCCTTGGCACCAGGAACTGCCCTTCATGCCCCTTGGCATCAGGAACTGCCCCCAGGGATCCAGAGAGCCTCACTCCCCTCGGCAGCAGGAGGGGTCCCTGAGCTGCAGGGTCCCTGCAGGGTCCCAGCCTGGCTGTGGCAAGGACCCATCCCCATGGGAGGGGACAGGATGGGGCACTCAGGCTCGGTGGTGAAGGTGGGACACGAGGCCCATGGGGCACACTCAGGTCAACCCTCCCTGCCCTCCTGCTCTGGCACTCTCCACAAGGACACAGCACCCATCCTTGTCCAGCCCCAAACACCCTCTCTCCTCTCAGGACCTGCACAAGGTCCAAAGCAGCACATTCCCCTCTGCTTCCAATCCCTTTAAGAGGTGTTTTACATCATCCAGGTAAATACTGAACTGCAACAACATCAACATCCATCTGCCTCCTCTTCATATTGCTGTGCCAACAGCTCCCTGAACCTGGAACAGCCCAGGCCAGACAGAGAGTGACCAAATCTCTTCCAAGGAGAATTTAGTGACAGCAATTATTTTAAGCCCTTTTATAATTAAAAAAATAAAAATTAAAAATTGCCAACAACATGAACACAGGCTCACAAAAACCATGAGTGAAGGTCACTGAAAGCAGTCAGTGTCAGGGGACAAGCAGACATTTCTCCGTTGATTTAGAGAAAAAAATAGAAAAAAGCGAAAGTAAATTAAAGAGAAAGAAACTATTTTGGTTACCTTTCTCACATTTCTTTTTGGAAGCTGACGAAGGAGGAGGAATCATAGGTAATTTCATCAACTCAGCACGATTTGACTCATTCAGTAGGTAGTGGGACTTATAGGCATAGGAACTGAACAGGGGGTCTGAATGGTCCTGCACTACCAGCCCTATACGAAACAAACAGAAAGAGATGAGTTGCAATGAAACTACCCATGATTCCATGAAGGAAAAACCAAATACACCCAATGAACACCTCTAATGCAGTATGTGGGAATGAAAAAAAGGATAAAATGAAGAAAAAGGAAAGTCTGACAAAGTGTCTGAGCTAACAAAGAGGTTGTGCTGGAGAGAGTCAAACTTAACTGGAAAATCTTGCAATGAAGTGGAATTTCAATTGTTTTTTTACCCTTCTAGACAAGCACAAGAAAAGCAATAAAGTTTGAATCCATGGGATCCCCTCTCCTTCCCACAGGGCAAAAGGAAGCTCCTCAGCAGACCTGGGGTGATGGTCACTGCAGCTGGGCTGTGCCCTGAGCACTGGGGCTACAGATGGAACACAAGTTGGGAATGAGAACTCACTGTCCCACTCCCCACAAGCCAATCCCTGAGATCTTGCCTACAGAAGTGTTTTGTCTCTGTCAGTGTGCTGGAAAGCAAGGAGGAGGTCAGTGTTCTGCAAGGCACCAAGGGGGAAGCACAGACGGAGGTTCTGCCCTAGATGGTGAAGCTGCCTCACCCAGCCCTCCCAGGGCTGCTCCAGAACAGTCCAGCACTCAGTTCCCTACACAACTCCACCCCAGGCCTTTGCAATTCTCAAGAAAAGCTTTTCCTCATTATCTAAAGATCCAGGCAGCCCAGCTGAGAGCCCAGAGCTGCAGAGAGAAGCACTTGGCCAGTAACTCATGGCAAGAGCAGAGCAGCTGAGCCCCAAAGAAACAGGAAAGATGAGCTACCAAGAGAACCCCCAGTTCTTCCCCTGAGGGACACACACACAGCTGAGGGTTTGACAGAAGCTCTTGGATGGTGCCTTCTGTAAGAAGATTGGGGTCAGCCCACCTGGACATGCATCATTGGGAGGATTCCTAAAACAAGGGACCCTACACATGAACTGCACCATGCTGACTGCAGTTATTGCAGGGTGCTGAATAAGAGGTCTTCAAATATCTTGTGTTTCAAAGCAAGTTTGTGTATCTTGTAGATTGTCTCTCATCTACATTTCTCACTTCAGTAACTGCATCTAAACACAAAGTCTCTGCTTCTGATAGCAACTAACACTAATTAAATCAGCATTAATTAAATTCTCATCGAGATGTCCAAGGATTTCTGAAGTGTTCAGTTCCCTGTTTCTATCTGAGCAGTGCTTTCACTCCTGACTCCAGCCAGGCCTGGTGGACACAAGCCCCACAAGAATGTTCTAGAGGAACAAGTACAGAGCTGCTCTAAGACACAGAAGATTCAGGCAGTGGCAATGGTTTGGAACTGTTCAAGTTCTCCTAATTAAGATCTGGGGAATACACAGGACAGGGAATTCTATCTGCCAGGGCACAAGAGGTTATTTAGATTGCCAGGAGAAAATCCAGACTTGTGCAGCTGCATCTCTGACGGAGCCAGATTCAGGTATAAAGAGAAATACTAAACAAATGTAAAGTGGAAAGAAAGGAAAAAAAAAGCATGAAAAATTCCTTCTGCATTTCTTGTCATTCTGAGATGTGTAATTATTCCTCAAGCCAAACTAAACTTCCACCTGAATGAACACAAATGAAAACAAGAAACTTCAGGATCCAGCTCACTTTCATTTCCCTATTAGTGACTCTCAAAACTGCTGCAGAGATCACATCCAATATAAACTGCTGGCATTCTGTAGAAAGTACACATTAATATTATTCCAAGAGAATAATGGTACTTTTGAATCTTGAGACCAAAGTAACTGCTGCAACAACATTTTTTAAGCTGCTCTCTGGCAGAACTCTGGTGACTGAAGAACCATAAAAGTAACAAGTGGGAAAAAAAATTAAAAATAAAAAAAAAGAACTTTGACACATGGAAAAGCTCAGCATGAAACCTGCTCATACAGTACTGCTAAAGGTTTTCTTTCAAAGTTCTCAAGTTATAAATGGAGTTATTCTAGTTCATGAGTAAATCCCAATTTTTAGTATTAAAACTTAGTTGTAAGTTTGTAGCAGTGAAAGAATCTCCTTCTGCTTAATATAATGGTTAACAACAACACAGCATTCTCAGCATGGAAAGGCTGGAATGGGGGGATTGGGATCTGCTTTTCCCTCCTTTACTGGCAGAACAAGTGGGCCTGAGTGCCTGGTGCTGCTTCTGGCTATCAAATGGACCAACACAGTGAGCTGAATCTCATGAGAACTGCTGACCAAAATAAAATTAAATTAAATTACATAAAAAAATCCCAGGCAGCATTTAACCCCAGCAAGCCCTAAGGGAGGAGTTCCTCACGAAACACTATTTTTATCACTAAACTACACAAATGACAACTATAAACTATAGAACTATAAACAGGGAAAAAACCAAGTGTCTCACCTCTTGCACAAACGAAACAAAAGCCTACATTTACAGCTGATGAGGAGTGAGTCCTTTTGGAATGGTTACTACAGATGAGGATGTGGGATGACACAAACAAGCTTCCTGCAGCGATGCAGCCGTCTCCAGAGTGATAGGCCACGGGGCAGCGCAGACATCTCGCCATGCGACCTGCTCAGGAAACAGCAAACACACCCAGGGCTAGCACCAGCCATCAGCTGGAAAATACCACTGGGGACTCTGGGAATCTGCAAAATTCAAGGGTTTTGGGAAAGCTGCAAGGTGCAGGCTTCAGAGACAGCAGAGCTGGGAGTAGAGCTGAGCAGCTGCCATGAGGTAGGTCAGCAGAAAAAGTGTTTGTCCCAACCAATGGTCAGGTCAGGACAGGGCACAGGCAAGGCTGGGTCTATTCCAGTGGTGTAAAAAAAGGAAACAGCTACATTTTTTTCTAAAAAAAGTTTCAAAATATTACCCCTTAACTTTCGCTTTAAAATTGTTAAGAAAAACTTCCATCATTCTAGAGGCTATTTGTTTGCTTTAAACATTTTAGTTCATTTCTAAAAGGATCTTCTTCCTTGAAAAACAATTGTTCACTACAAATTGCCTTCAATTCTTTGGCCTAGTACTGTCAACCCCTGGCTTCCATTAAACCTGTCCTGTTCTTCTAACCCTTCTGATGTTTTACATTCTTGTAACAAACTTTCTTATGCACTTTTTACTTAATGACCAATCACCATCCAGTTGTATTGCACTCTGAGGAGTCAGTCATCAGTTTTTCATTATCATTCTTGTTAAGCCTTCTGTCTGTATCCTTTCTGTATACTTCATATAGTTTTAGTATAGTATTCTTCAATATCATATCACACCATAACATATCATATATCATATCAGCCTTCTGAAAACATGAAGTCAGATTTTTATCTCTCACCTTGTCCTGGGGACCCTTACAAACACCATACAGGTGCAAGAGGTCCTTGCCCCTAGTAAAACACCCTACAAAATGAATTCATTTCTTTGTTCTCTTATTTTTCTAGTAAATTCCTCAGGCAGGACTTTGTGGCTTCTGTGCAATTAGCTATCCTTAAATTTGAGGTGAAGTCCTACAAGATGTCACCAGGTCCTACAAGATGTCTTTTCACCTAATTGAGGAGAGAAACTTCTGGGCCTATTTCCTTTTGTCCCCTTTTTAAGGGGACAAAAAATAGTTTTGCCACTCCATCAACAGGGGGCACATTCCTATACAAGACTTTTTGGCTCCTGTCCAGTTGGGTATCTTTAAATTTGAGGTGAAGCTCCCCAGGTCCTCTGAGATTTCTTTCTACCTAACTGAGGAGCGAAACTTCTGGTCTTTTTTCCTTTTTAAGGGGACAAAGGATAGTTTTGTCACTCTGTCAACAAGAAGCACACTCCTATACAAGACTTTTTGGCTTCTGTGCAATTAGTTATCCTTAAATTGGAGGTGAAGTCTCCCAGGTCCTATGAAATGTCTTTCGACCTAATTGAGGAAAGGGTTTATTTCCTTTTTAAGGGGACAAAAAATAGTTTTGTCACTCTGTCAACAAGAAGCACACTCCTATAGGGGATTTTTTGGCTCCTGTGTACCTGGGTATCCTTAAGTTTGAGGTGAAGTCCCCCAGGTCCTACAAGATGTCTTTTCACCTAATTGAGGAGCAAAACTGGGCTTATTTCCTTTCTAAGGGGACAGAGGATAGTTTTGTCACTCCTCCAAGGGGACAAAGCATAGTTTTGTGTACAGGGGGCACACTGCTGTGGCTGGCCTCACCTTTGCTGGCTTTGTGCATGTCCTTGTCCATGGAGCAGGCGGTGCAGCAGTGCTGCGGGCAGCGGAAGCCGCGCGACTCGAACAGGGCCGTGGCGAACTTGCGCACGCAGGACTCGTGGTAGAACTTCCCACAGGTGCTGACAGAGCAGCGCTTCACGTCCTTGCCAGGCTGCTTGCAGGAAAAGCACGTGTGCTCTCCTTGGAAGAGAAGGAATAAGGAATGCCAATTGTAAAAGCAAACTCTGATGTGGAAACCCAGGGCGCCACAGTGAATATTTCCCTGTCTGCCCTGACCCCCAGTGGAGCACTGACTTTGACACTCATTCATGAAGAAACTTTCCCAGACTTCAAGATAGATCAGAATCCACAAAAGTGTGAAATAGATTACAGAGAGTAGTGTAGGTGTATAACTTGGTGAGAAATTTAGGTTTTGGGATTTTTAGTATGTTGTGGATGGAAGCAAGATGGAGGGCATAGGATGTCATCTTGAGTTTCTTCTTCACACTGCTTCTTCCTCTTTCTCCATGGGTTTGGGTGGCATTTTGTAATTGGGCAGAAAAGTCCACATTGTGGGCTCTTTGGGATCAGTTATTGGGTTAAAAGGGAAAATAATCTACGTGTCAGTTCTTAATTGGATGGTTTAGTCTTAAAACACCTTGTAACAAGAAATTGTTGGCTATTTTGTGCCTTCTAATGAAAAGCTGTCAAACTCACAGTAGCGAGGCTGTTTTACTGATAAGAAATAATAAACACCTGAGTCTGAACATGAATTACTGCCTCAAGTGCCTTCAATGTAGACTCAGAGAAACCCACAACTGAAGCCCTCACACTCTGACATACTGATATTGTCCAAACAAATTCTGAAGCCAACAGACTGTGAGCAATACAGGATCCTTCCCATCCAGCAGGCTGGGTTACTGTGATCCACAGTAACACTGCAGTAGCTGCTCACATAAAAATCTCTTATTCCAAGTAAAACCCTAAGCAGCTCTTTTTTTTTTTTTTTTCTTACAAGGCACTTGCTAAATAGAAAATGAGAATCTGGTCTCAGAGCTTAAAAAAGCAGCAGAATAACCCAAACTTAACTCAGAAACCCTTGGAAAGCACCACCTTGGTTTGCTCTGACCAGAATGGGAGGAAAGGGGGAAATCCCTCCCATTTTCCAGGCACAGAACACACACTCACCATTCTTACACTCGGTGCAGATGAACTTTTCCTCAGGCATGGCCTTCAGGCCGAGACACTCCAGGTGGAACATGCTGCAGCACTCGCCCTCGCAGGCCAGCAGCGACTCGCCAGAGCTCTCACAGATCTGCAACAGGCACAGAGCTCAGCAGGGAACAGGGCACCCTGACACACCAGGAGCTGGCAACACAACTGCCTGGAATTGCTTCAGAGTTAGGGTAAGGCAGAACTGAACCTGGAAAACCTCAGGGTGAGGACAATCCCAGCACTCGCTGCACCTTGCTCTGGTGCAAGCCAAGCCAGAGACAGGAGAGGCACCACAGCACCCACCTGCCCTCCATGCCTCAGGGAACAAGCTGCTCTGGCTCTTCAGGTTCTTTACTACTGACCAGGGAACTGGGCAGAACATCCCAGGATTTATGTTTTTATAAATACTGAAAAATTCTCGCTCTGTCCTATCCTGACCAACCATCTGGAACCTTCAAATGGAGCAGAAAATGGCATCTGTACTTTTTCTACTGATGCTGACAGGTGTGGATTAGACATCACCTTCCAGCTGCTGAGCTTTCTGGCCTGCAGGGGGGCTGAGGAATCATTTAATACGAATCATTTCCAGAGCATAAAAACTCCTTAAAACCTGGATATTTTATCTGAGAAGTCAAATTAAAAGAACTAACAGAAATAGGGGATACATATTTAGCATCCATCACTTCCCAGTATCACCAGTTACCTGACAAACAGTGTCTTTTTTACTTGTTCCAGTTCCTCTCCTGGATAAGCTGGAGTCCACTGACTGCACATCTGAGGCATCAGCATCAGCAGTGGCTGAGGGGCTGTCTGAACGCTTCCCAAAGCTGCCCTACAAAGAGGAAAAACCCATGGCTCTCAAACCAGGCATGCCAAACCACAACCACACCAGGAAAAATATTTCTGTCACTGCTGAGCAAAAGAACATTTGGTAGGTCAAGAGACACAAAGGTGCTGGACTTCACTGGGATGACACAAGTGCTGCCTTCTTGATCTATTTTACCTGTAAAAGCCAAACACCATAAGGAGCTCTCTAGGAGTTACACCAGACACAGCAGCATCTCCCAATTCCCCAAGAATTTCAAACCTTCCACAGAGCAAATCATGTTCTAAACCAATGTTTTGCCAGACAAAGTAACAGGAACATTTGTAAGTAAATATTGTATTTTTACAACAAACCAGTGGAGGGGATTAGAACAGACTAGGTTTTATGTTTTTAGATAATAAAAGATTCAAATTTCATAGAAAATAAGAGTTCACATATTTAGCAATATTTAGCAATAATCAACTGAAAAGCCTCTTGTACACTGACAGCTTGTTCAGGTTCCTGGGAGAACCAACCATGAAACCTTTACCTGCAAATCATTGAGGCCTCTGGAGTCAGAGTCAGACGTGTCCCTGTAGGCTGAGCTGGTCAGTTCCATGTCAGTGGAGGCACGACTTCTCTTCTTCAAGGGTTTACACGAGTCTGAAATCTCACTGGCACCTTAACATAACACGCTAAAATTAGTTTAATACATGGTCTCGACTTTTTGCCTAAACTTAATAAAAGAAAAAAAGCTGAGGGCTTGGATTCCATTATCTGTCTTAATTATTCAGTTTGCAATTTTGTTACTAGTTGAATTCTCCCTGAAAATTAACTGAAAACCAGCTTAGGCAGAGTTTTGACACACTTTTTACATGGTGATGCAGTGGAGGAAGGCAATAAATTGTCTTTAAGGGAGGATAAATCCTTAGATTTGTTCTTCATCATCCATCTTTAACTTTGGCTAAGCAGAGATTTTTAAGAATGCCCAGAAGCTCTTGGGGGTTTACAGCTATGAACAAACACCATCCTTCCCCAGCAATACATGAGGACCAAAACCCCAAACACAGCCTGTCCCCAGGGAAGCTGAGCTCAGCCCTACAGAGCACCAACACTGTGGCTCACATGGAGCAAAGCTGCTGCCAAAAGGCCACAGGCCACCAAGGTCAGCTGAGTTAATTTTCACCTCTCACTCACCTTTCTGCAACCCCGTCTTCACTGCTGCCAGTGGGACAGCTTCAACCTGTTTGAAAGGAAAATGCACAGTTAACATCAGAGGAAAGTTTCTCCCTAGTACCAAAAAGCAAACAGGTCAGTTCAAGGGGTTACAATTCAGGTGGGAGCTGCCACCCCCTCCTCAGCCCGAGTCTCCACGTCCTGCTGGATCCACTCCTGCCTAGGCTGGTGCCCACAGCCCTGGCAGCCAGGGGCCACTAGGCAGGGCCACCAGGCAGGTCCTTCCTCTCTGCCCTGGGGCAGGAAGGTGCCAGGAGCGCTGCATCCGTGTCCAGCAGGCAGGAGCACCCTTGGCCAGTCACTCCTGGTGCTGTGCAAAGCCCACAGAGCTGTGTGGGCACACTGGGTGCCCCTGGCAGGGCTGGCACCGGGCTAGGGAGGCACAGGGTGGGTCACTCGCTGCTCCCTGCAGCTCCTGCAGCCCTTGCTCCCCGTCTAGAGCTCTGCACAGGCTGCCCAGGTGCCGTGGTGCAGGGCTCTACACAGCTGGAACTCCAGGGCACAGGCACTGCAGCACACAAATGCACAAGTTTACAGTCTTGCAAAAGCACTTCCAGTCCTTGACCCTAGGGAGAAGTTTAGGAACTGTTCTGCCAACACACATGGAAGATGTGGGAATTTGGTGACTGGGTAATATTTACAGATGAAAGCTGTTGCCTAAAATCCTGTTTTCAAGGTTAAGAATTACAAGTTATTGCTTTGCAATGTGGTTACATATGCATGGAGAAACACATTTAGTAAATATTTAAGGATTATTCTATAATTTTTTTAAAAAATATTTTATTTTGTTGTACAATAGGTAAAAACATACAGTAGAAGGATTTGTATAGGATACATTTTGTAATACAAATATAAAATCTAAACAATCACTTTTATTTCTCCACTAGTCACTGTAACAGTAGCATCAACATTTTGTTTTTCCCATTAATTGTACTCGTTCCAGTTATAATTTTATACCAAGTTGTTGCAGACTAACTGGGGAATCAAGAAAACTTGACTTTGGGTAACAAATATTGTTGCATAATTGTAAGAAGTTAGTAAGTTTTCTTTTTTAAAATTTAACTTAATACATTCAAGGTTTAGCGCATTACAGTGCCCCTGGGTTTCACTTTAGCCAGATACTTCTCCTGAGAAAAGCACTTTAATTAAAGTCCACAGACTGAGTCAGCCAGGTAAGAGAAGCACATGAAGCTACCTGGCATCCATGAAGTTCATCTTGTTGGTTCTTATACCTTTGTTAAATTAAGAAATCTTTACAAACATAAAAACTCTTGAAAGGGGGAGGCTGCAACAGCTCGTGCCAAGAGGCTCCACAGTCCACATCAGGTGTCACACACCCAACACTTGAATTGCTTTAAAGTTTCTCTAAGAAACTGCCTCGAGCTGGAGCACTCCTCTGCTGCACAGCAGTGCAGAAATGCTGCAGCATCAAAGGAAAAATAAGGAAAAAAACCCCAAAAAAGCAACCGAGTTCACTTTCAGTCTCTGAAGTGAAGGAAGTGCAAAACAAAGCGCAAAGGGCGAAGAATAAATTAAAGAGATAAAAATATTTTTTCCCCTTCTCATATAAATCTTCATCCTGACTATCCCTCTTTAAAAATTCTCACTGGGAAAAGCTAAACTATGAAACATTTATATAAAATTCTCAGCTTTCAGACAGAGGCCTTTGAAGCAGGGAAAAATCAACCGTGCAAGGAGAAGAACCAACAACTTTGACAAACTTGTTTAAAGTGTATGCAGGTTTTGGTATTTCTGTCCATCCACTGCACTCTCCTACTCATTTCCACGCAGAAATTTTTTATGATTAAAATTTTCTTAAAGCAACAACATTTGTCTGTCTGACATCCAGATTAAAGGAATGCCCTGTACACGTTAGAACTATTTCAGGAAAAAATGGTATATCCCAGAACTGTTTTGCTGATGTCTGCCAACATGAAAGTCTGACTATTCATCTTTAAGTGAAATCATTCTTGAAGTCCATTTTCAGAAGTGGTCAAATTAATCACTCTAACTTCATTTAAAAAAACAAAGCCTCAACACAAACCAGCAGCTAAATCAAGAGCCAAAGGAAGGAACCTGGTGGCAATTCCATCCAAGAGAAATCACTGAAACAAACCCATTTTGCTCAGAACAGAAATCTCAAAGGAAACATGGCAGGTTCATTAGGAGTCATCCATCACTTCCATAGCCTGACTGATACTGAGAAGATGCCAGTAGCAGAGTCACAGCAATGGCATTGACAGGGGGATTTCATGGAGGATAGTCCAAACCGAAACCCGATGGGGAAAAATGGAGAAACATAAAAAGGCACCAATATAAGCCACAACATTTATGAATACAATATATTTTAACTCTCTACATGGAGGAAGCCAACCTGCTCCTTTTTGATCTTCTTCTTTGGCACAACTTCAGTGGATTTCTCAGACTCGGAGCGGGTTCGAATCGATCTTCTCTGTTGCTTCTTTTCTACAGAACCTGAAGAAGGAAAAAGGTTTCCATTATTTGATTCCTTGTATTTCTGAGGTACAGCAAGATGTGCAACACCAAACCAAGAGGTAAAGGAACGAAACCAAGACTTTGTCCTCTTTTGAATGTTTTATTTTTAAATTCAGTTCCAAGCTATTGACCAGCTGGTGCTGTGGCTGCAGACACACATTCCGATTCCAGAGATCAGCTTCAGAAAACAGACACAAGTAACAAACTGGAACAAAAGGCTGGAATTCAGATTAGGGCAAACAGATTTCCATAATCCATAACACACCTCTCTGGCATGGTCTTCACCTGGGTAATTCTGAACCAAACAGTCCATCTTTGGTGCTTTGGGAAGGTAGCCACAACCAACTCCTTGAACAAAAACAAACTAGAAATTTCAGATGCAAAGCACAGCTTCAGGACCTCCTCCCAAATGCCAGATCTGTGTCCCCCTCTGTGGGGTGATGGCCTCTGTCCCACCCTGGACCACCTGCAGCCACACCAGACCTCAATGCTCACCTGAAAGTTTTGAGGTGAAGAAAAACTCAGCACAAACAGAGGAATCAATCTGATGTGTTACCATCATTGATGAATGCGAAAAACAAGTTTTTCAAAGCATTAGCACGGAAAACAAACTCAGATTAATGAAGGTTACTGTGACATTTCAACAGATGAAGAGGGAGCTACTGGAATTTTGGTAAATAAGGCTGGCAAAATCAAAAGATCTTTCTGTGCTCCAGCACCTCCCAAACAGGCACATGGAGAACCATGGACACAACACCATGGGCAGCTGCTGGAACAAGCACAACACCTGGGGCTGACAGAACTGGCACCTGAGCATTTACAATGAGCTGCTGGGAAGGATTTTGTTGGATTTTCAGCCTGGGAGGTTTCACCCATACAAGACAACTGGGAAATACTTTGTTTTCTTCCAAGCAAAATTGCAAACTCTTGGGAGCTGACTGTGTCAGATGGATGCACTGTTAGGAGCTGTGAACCTGCCTGGTCTTGTCAGATCAAGTATCTGGAGACACACACAGGCTAGAACCAGACTGAAAGACAGCCCTGCAAAAGAACTGCAGAGAAAAAAAAAATGAAAACTTTTTTCCCATGGCTGCATGGCTTGGGAATGTCTCAGTGACTAAACTACACAGCTGGAAATGTTATCATGTTACAATAATTGGTTTTCTGAGGGGAAAATTTTGTTTTTCTTAGAGGGAAAAAGCTTTTACAGCATATTAATTAATGAATAATAGTAATTAGTTATTAATAATTTAGAAATTAATGACTGAGGTCAACATCCATCCTGTCTGTCCACGAGTAACTTCTGGTTAGGCCCCATCCCTTGAGAACTTGCACAGCAGCACTGGGTCTCCACATCAGAGCTGGGAAATATCTTTTGTCACTTTGCTGTGTGACCAAAATCCCCAGAAGCAGCTTCAGGTCAATTTGAGCAGATGTGACCAACAGTTACTTTAAGCAAGAATGGATTTTCTCCCTGAAGCCAAGGAGAAAAGATCAAGCCCTGGATCAGAGAATTCCAGAAACTGGAATTTGGCTGACAGCAACATTGACCACTGCAATGGGCACTTTCTCCTCTTCCTGCTCTCCAAGGATCCAGTCACCACCTTCACAATGCTCCCATCCCATCTTCAGCTTTATTTTCATCCAAAGTTTCAGGAGAGATGTTGGACCAGCCCTCGACCTTGCTGGAGATGAATCCCAGTCCAGTGTCTGCAGGCCAGGGATTCTCAGGGCTGCTCTTGCACTTTCAAGCAAGGGAATGAATTATCTTTCCAGCATTATTGAATTTTGTTATCTAACTGCAGGTTAGCAATAAGGACTCCCAGAGTAAGTCTGGCAAATACTTTACCATAAAGGGATTCTGAAGTTCCACTGACCTTACATTTGAAAAAAGGACTTGGCAGTTATGTTCCACAAGAGGGGACCAAAAACTGGGCTTTGGAAATGGCTTTGAGAGTGACTGGAGTGGGCACTGCAGGTAAGCTCAGGCACTTACAGGGTGTTAGCAGGTGGAGTGTTAGGTATCCAAAAAGCCTGAGAAAATGAAAAAAGAGAGGCTCAGAATTCCCACTCCCTTCATCTGAGGAGCCAAAGGGAAGCTGAAGCCTTTAGATCCCAGGTGAGAGGAGCAGAATGGAGATGGCCTCTGCTGCTGCAAGGCAATCCAAGGAGCCACAGCAACCACAGCTGGAAAGAACCACCACTGTCAACAGCAGGGGCATCCCCCCTGAGAGCAGGAAATTCAAGGGCTGCAGTCCCAAACACTCCATAAACCAGCAAATAACCCTGCCTAAAACCAGCACACACCCAGAACCTGAACTGTGTTTGCACAGGACTCATGGATGCTGACCACTGAGATTTCTGACTCTGGTTCTCATCTATTTCATGTTTGGAAAGAGAGAAATAATCAAATGGATGGATAGTTAAAGCAGAAGTGACATCTGGCAATATTATGAGGTTCAAACAGCTCATTCAAGGTTTTCACATTTCAGGCCCAAGTTCCATGATTTGCTTCAGTGGTTCTTCTCCCTCAGACCTGACAGCTCAAAACTTTATGATGTACCCTCTGTGATGGCTTCAAAAGGCAAGCACCACCTCATTTGGATGGAGTTAGCTGAAGCAGTTTTAAAAAAACCCTGCAAAAACTGAACAACAAAGCCTAGGCAGTCTCCACCTTGAATCAGACAGTCCCTACTGAAATGTGCCACTTCCAGACTCTTTTTGCTTTCATGACAGCTCTCATATTTTCCATTTGGGACCAAAAGCCACGGCAATACCCTGCTAACACACATCCACTGGCTTGTCTTCTAAACCAGCTTTCCATTGCTCTGCACAGGACATCATCCCTTGAGTATGTTGCCTCAGGCTGTGAGTTGCAGACACAAAGTTCAGAGGCCAAACCACCAATCCCACCCCACAGCCACGCTGTGTGTGTTGGCTCACCATGTGTGACATTAGCCATGCTCATTACAATTACTCTGTGAACAGAAAAATGTTAATAATTCTTAAGTAATGAGAAAATGCTGGGTTTGATATTTGAGTTCTCATGCTGCAGGCTCAGGTTCAGAGCAGGATTGCAGTTTCCCTACCTGCTGCCCCAGAAGTTGTCTCAGGAGAAGATGCATTTTGCACCACAGCTTTCTCACTTCTCTGAGCTGATGAAGAATTCAATTTCTCTTGTCCTTTGACGCTTATTTCTGTTTTGTTACCGACTCCCTTGAAAAGAAAAAAGGAAAAGATTGTCTTCCCCTGTTACAAAGCTGTGCTGCTACCAGGTAACAGGCCTGCCCCTGAATCTCAGAACAGAAACAATCAATGCTCTCCAAGCCAACACATAGACAGGATTAATCTGCTATGGATCTTGTTCCCTGCACAACTTTCCACCCCTCTCAATCTCCCCTCACACACAAGGAAAAAATAATTCCAGTGACTTTTCTAAACATTACCTTCTCTATAGGGCTTAGGATGAAATAAACACTCTCCAGGTAGAGAGGCAGAAGAAGGAGGCAGAGAAATAGTCCTAAGCCTGTTCCTTACACTGACTGTGGGAAGCTGCTGTGCACCTGAAGGAAGCTCAGAGGCAGAACTCAATTTAAAAGTCTGTTACACAAAACGTAGTTATTACTTTTTAGTACATTATGAACAGTTTTGTCATCTGTTTCCCACAAAACCACTGATTTTATCAAGAATTTTTTTGGACTGTTTCAAGTAGGAAGCAGAATATATTCTCTATATATTAAATATATTAATATATTAATATTAATTATACATTGATATAAAAATACAATAATAATATATAATACTATAATGATATGTTAATATCAATTATATTAATATATTAATATAAATATATAGATATTTAATATATTTAATGTGTTATAAACAAAAATACAGCCATCTGTAGGGAGCTGCTCTGCCACCACCAAAACAGTTACTGTCAGAGCAGCACTGAACATGGGGTTCAGTGGCCTGAAAAATTCTATTGTCACATCTGTCTGTTAATTTCTCCAATAAAGGAACATGGGTGGTGAAAGCTTGATGGACACAGCTCAAGCTCTCCAGTAAGGCAGACTCAGGATAACTCAGGAGCAAAAGAAGGGTCCCTGCACCAAGCACGTACCTTGGTGGAATAAACAAATTGATCGATGAGCTTTCCATCCCCAGCAGCATTCTGAAGGGCAAAAACCTGCTCAATTTTAACAACCGGAGACATGTTACACTTTTGCAGATCCAGGTTGTGCATGGTGATGGAAGCTGGCAGGGATTTCCTAGCTGCAGCTGTTTTCCAGGCGATTTTCACAGGTGGAGCCTCCTCCTCCTCGGGGCTGGAGTGCCTGCGCTGGCCCTGCCGGCGCTCGCTGTGGCAGGGTGAGGAGCCCGGGGCCGCAGGGCCGTGCTCCGGCTGCGAGCTCGGCGCCGCCTTCGGCCGCCGGTTCTTCTTGGCCTCTGCTTTGGAAGCAGCAGTCTTTTTGGCTTTGGCCAAAGCTTCCTCTGGCTCTTGGTCTACGTAAATGAAGGTGTACTGTTCTATCCTCTCCTCCCGGGTCATTTTCAGCGCTTTCTCGGCGTGGGCAATGCCAATGTCCCACTGCGCTCGCTCCCGCTGCGGCCGCGGCTTGCGAATCTTAGGGGACAAGACAAGCAGTGGTTACACTGAAGATTTTGCCATTACAGCATTCAAACACAACCCTGAGGGTCTCTGCATCTCTCAGGCAGCAGTCTGCTCTCCATTTACAGGGTATTTCTGACACTGAATGTATGTATGTTGCCATGTTCTCTTCATAGAGAAAATCAAGGCACAATCTTTCCCAAGAATATTTCTGAGATTCACGTTCTCTGAACCTCAGAGAAAGAGAGAGCACAAGTCTTATCACTTACTGTGTCTATATTGTGTCAATATAGAGATTGTTTATCAAAAGTGAAGATGTTTTATTTCCTTGGCTATTAGGGCTGAGAGTGTGTGTCTGTCTGCTGACAGTCACAAAGCAATCAAGAGAGGAGTGCAGTTGTGTGCAAAGTAAGTGCTTGGCAGATTCAGTTTAGATGAAATGTATAATAAAGTATTATACACTTATAGTATAATAAAGTAATTAATTATTAATATATTATAGTATAATAAAGTAAATAATTAACCTTTTAATAAGTTAGACTCAGATACATAATTCTCTCCCCCTCTCATAGTCATCCTTTACTTTAATAAATGCAGACACAGAATTCTCTGCTGGTGAGATCCACCCAGTCCTTCTCAGGACAAAGCCCTGAAGAGTTCCAGACCTGCCCTGGAGCATCTCCCTTACAGAGATGATCCCCCCAGTGCCCCCTGTACCTTCTGTTTCTCAGAGTGGTTGCTGGCTTGCTTGGCTGCCTCAGCCAGTAACTGCTCGTACTGTTTGTGCCCTTGGTACTCGCGGACGCGCTTCTCGTGCACCCAGGCCCGCTCTGGCTGGTTGCTGAAGAACTGAACGTGGTATTCCCGGGCACCTGAAAGGGCAAACACCACTCAGCAGTTGTACCAACACTGCTCTGTTCAGCTCACACCTCCCTCCTCCTTCCTGCAAGAGAAGGCACCTGGCCCGAGTGGCCCAGATCCAGAACAGTGTGGGATGGATGCTTGTTATCATGTTTTCTGAAAAATCCCTTTGCTAAGGATTTTCTCCTGAGAATCCTCAGGAAAGAAATGCAAACAATAATTATCTGATTGCTTGGAGTGTAGTTTGGAGGTTGCTCACCAACAGGTGTATCTTTGATTGGTTCCATGCGAATTGTTTTAATTTAATAACCAATCACAGCCAGCTGTGTTGGACTCTCTGCATCTGTCACAAGTTTTTATTATCATTCTTGTTCTAGCCTTCTGATGTCTCCTTTCTCTTTCTTTAGTATAGTTTTAGTATATAATTTTATATGATATGATAATTTATTAAATCAGCCTTCTGAGAACTTGGTGTCAAATCTCATCCTGGGGACCCTCATAACACAACAAGAGATGCTCAGGACACCCTGCCCACACTGAACTCTCTCACTGACTTGAGAAAAGCAGAAACACCTGGGCACCAGCCCATTCCCACAGTGCCACCTGCAGAGATCACATACCAGGTACCAGTTCTGTCCTGTTCAGCACAAACACAGCAGAATTCAGCCCACAAAGGCAGTTTAGCATGAGGATATTTTTAATAACAGAACAGCTACAGACACCTGCCACTCTGGCTAAGAGCTTCCTGCCTCACCTCTTGTATTAATTTTGGTGTGCACGTCAAGCTGTGGATCACAGGACACCATGCAAGGCCACCATGGGTACGTCCCCACCTTGGACCAAACCAGATCCCCAACCTGGAACTTGACGTCGTGGGTGACCTGTGCTGGAAGGGATGGCACGAGCTGCTGGACCTGCAAAGGAAACACCAGATTAAAGCCACAGGAGAGGATTTAGAGCACTTGGAGATGCACACACCATCCACAGGGACTTGTTGTTGTTGTTCTCTCAGATATCCCTGAGGTTTGATAATCCAAGATGAGAAAAACATTTCTTAGAAATGTGAAAGAAAGGAGCTGCACGCAGCTGGGATTTATGTAACAACACCACTGACAAACAGAGACAAAAAGAGCAACTGCCACCCCCCCAAAAAGGATTCTGCTTCCTAAGTCGATTAGAAATACTGCTTTTAGGATAAAATAAAATAATAAAATAGGAATAAAATAAAAGAAATATTTAGGAATAAAATAAAACAATAAATCCAGTACAATAAGAGATGTGTTGATGCAGTAATGAGAGTAATAAGAGTTTAAAAGAAATGACAACTGATTTAGCAGATAAATTAAAGAATCAGTGGAAGAAACAGACATTCTCTGAGTTCCCAAAGTGTTAATTGGTGCAGGTACTAACCGGGGCTTCCTCCAGCACTGCATCTTCTCTTGGTCTCTCAGAGAGTGTGCTAAGCCTCTCATTTGGTCTCTAAGAAATGGGTAACAGTGAAGAGAAAAAAGGAAAACAAGACTTACTGTAAAGGGACAGTAAAACAACAGAAGATAATAGTGAAACCAGGCAGAAAAAGATAATTCACAGAGAGAAAAGCAACCATGAACCCAGAAAATGTGAATATGACTATTAATTAACACAGTAACATCACAATAAAAAATTACCTGGTTTTCCCTACGCTATTTACATTACTATCACAGCTAAATATAACTGTGCTCTCCTGTAACAGATGACAGAAGAACATACATTCAGAAACAGCAAATCCAAGTAACTTTCCACCTAAAATAACACACAATTTTAAAAAAACCAGAGAACCCCATGTGAGGATATCCACAGTGATGTGGTGAGTCTCACTGTGCACCAGTCATTTGCCAGAACTGCAGTACATAAATTATGCTAAATATACAACATGACCATTGTAAAATCGATGTTATATTGCATAGAGTTGACAAATATATTTGGAGGATCAAAAATCCACAACACAGAGCAGAATCAGCCCTGAGCAGAAGCTGACACTGACGTGGGGTGGGTGTGAGGGGACAGGGGCTGAGGTTCAGGAGACAAATGCCACCCAGCTCCTCACAGAACACAATTTCTGAGCAGAAAGGCTGATTCTCAAAATAAGAATTCAGAGCTTGATGTTCACCCGTGTTTTCACAACATTTCCATTTTAAATCAGCCTCTCCACTTTGGGCATCCCCTCAGAGTCAGTGGATTTCCTCTGAAATTACAGCATCAGAATAAGGAACAACTGGTGACCACCTGACTTGCCACAGCCTCATGCAAAACTATAAAACCACAGTTGTACCAAAAGTTGTTTGTTCCTATGAAGATGATCCCAAGCCACAAATCTCACACCTTTAACACTGAAGATGACAAAAGTGTACATGAAGGTGAAATCATGCAGTGGAAAGTAAAATGATGGGACAATGGGCCTGAGACTGCCCTGGCAAACTCATACTGAGAAGCATCAGCAGAAAATCCTGCTCCTGTCAGAGCAGGCCATGTCTGAAACAGGGCTGGGCTCCACGAAACATTTATTGCAACACCACCTTCAGAAAGGGAAATGAAAGCAACAAGGAAGACAATAGCAAGACCAAGATTTCTGGTGAACTCTGCATGACACACATGCCTAGGAGCTTGGAATTCAAGATGCAAGGTTTTGGTTCAGTCTGTGAGAGACAGAAGATTCCATTCTCATGGCAAGCAGGTAACAGAGCCAGGGGGACAGACACAGCTGAAGCTCCAGGAGTAGAACAGGAGTCACTGGTAAGAGGGGAAACAACCTGACAGGCTGATGTGGGGGTGATGGAGCCTGGCCAGAAAGCAGGAGCAGTGCAAGAGATGCTGCTCAGGGAGTGCCAGCAGGACACAGCAGCTCCTGCAGCCTCACAGGGGCCCCAGCAGCTCCCTGCAGCACAGAACCCACTCCACCAGATCCTGCAGCACAGGATCTTCTCCCTGAAGAGAACAGCAAGCACCAAGGGCTTCCTCAGGCCTGACAACACACTCAGCTACGTTCTGTAACGTAGGCAATTTCTGTCCCTGCCAGAAATGGCAACTTCCCCATTCCTGGTACTTAAAGCCTCTCTGCCACCCATTCCCTCAAAGTGGGAGAGGCAGAAACCAGCACCACAGAGGTGGCAGAAAAAAGCATGAGAAAAGGAAACAGAAGTATTGGAATGGCTTATGAAACTGAAAGAAAAAGAACAAGAGGGCACCAAGGTAATCTGGGTCTTTGCTTCCCAGAATCTCAGCTAACACCACCTGATGTACATCCTTGGGATATGGACAATATGGTACATGATTAATTAATGTTTCACTGCTGAATACCCCAAGGAACCTCACTTTCCACTCAACAACCTAGCACTCTTTTGAGAGGCAATTTTAGGAATGTGTCAGCTTTCATCCAGAAGTCCCATCTTCAACACTGGCCAGAGCGTAGCAAACTCTAAACACGTTAGAACACTAAACAATATTTAAAAACAATTTTCTAAGATATGTTTTTCACATGAGCCTTTAAAGCACCATTGTGTTACCTACAGACACAGCTCCTGGCAACCTCATCCTGAGGCTCTGCCTACAGCCTGGTGACTCAGCGTGCACACAGCCAGAACAAGGACAAACCCTGCTGGACACGCTCTCCATCAACAACACCAGGTGTACACATGGCTCAATTACCATTCCACTTACATTTTGCTCCTCTGGTTCTAATTTTGGAATTTTGTGTGCCTTGCGCTCTTCCGAGCGGGAAGAGTCATGCTTGCTACTTTTTTTCCTTTTCTCTTTCCTCCCTTCATGTTTTGCCTTAGCGTACTCCCTCGCTTGGACTTCATTCAACAGGTCCCCACACAGGGAGGACTCAAACAATTCCCTGCCGTTCTGGATAGTTTTGGTTATTTTCAGTTTGATCTCTGGTGAGCCAGTCTTCTTTGGAATCCCCACTTGTGGAGGTGGTGGTGGTGGTGGTGGAGGCGGCTGGGGAGGAGGGGAAGGTTTCTCCAGCACTTCGTGCTGCCTGCCATTGGAGTTCTCCAGCTGGTAATACTCCGTGGGGCTGAAGTTCCTGCCTGTCCCAAAGCCATTGGCAGATCCATTGGGGTACTGAGGGTAGCCCTGGTACTTGCCCTGGGGTTCGTACATGCTGATGGCCGGGGGGTAGCCGTTGGTGAGGGTGGGCAGCTCCTCTGAGGGCGTGGGGTACTGGAAGCCTTGCTGCAGCGCGGCCTCGTACGGCGTCCGGCCCCCATCCTCGGCAATGTCACTGCTGCCATCAAAGGCCTCCTCTTGGCGGATGTTGGCCGAGTCAATGAGTTGAGGTGGTTGCTGAATTGTGTTTCCCATGATCCCTTGCATGAAAGAGAAAGAGAAATCCATTGTTCTGCTCCAGCATCCTTAGCTTTCCCTTTTTCTCATAGGGCCTAGAGGCAGGGGAAGGGAAATAAGAAGTCAGTGTAAATTAAAGAACGGTAATTAAGCAAATTAAACAGTTGAGGAAAAAAGGGATCTCAAGAACAATTTCCCCCTCTCTATTCAGCAGACACCCTCACGTGGATTTAGAGAGGACTGATGTTACTGAGCCTTTACTGGCATGTCTTTCATATGGCAAATTTCTTCTTTTCCAAGACATTTCAAAAAATATCAAAAGCACCTAGGAGTGCTTAAGAACTATAAGCCGAAGTATTACAAAGTCAGAGTAACAGTGCCAAACTCCCCAGCCTCCCTAGCCATGCTCTAGGAAGGGTTATTCCAGTCTGAAGCAATTCTGGACAGCATTTCACCCTGCAGCAGATAGGAGATACCAAGCTGTCCTGACACAGTCACTGTAAACTGCCCAAACCAGGAACACCACAGAAAGACAAACAGAGAAATCTCTTCTCCTCCTCCCTCCCCACCTCCTTGCCAAAACTGGGCAAGCCATGGGATGCTCTGAACAGCAGCACAATGAAAATAAGAGGGTCATTCCACGTTGGCCACTGGGAAATCAGTGCCCTGCAGCAGCCTCAGATGGAGCTTCCCAACCTCCTCCCTCCCCAGAAAAGCAGGGTACAGTTTGCAGCTGTGTGAGGAGGGTTATTCTCCTGCCCCTCACACTTTATTTTAATATTATGCATTGCATGATTCAAAGCCTCAGCATCAACAGCCCCCTAAACCCAGATGTTACTCACTGAGTGAGATTCCACACCTCCAACCTTCCTGTGCATATTAAAAAACCAAAATCAGACTCAATCAAAGTCAGACTTCCAAAACTCAACTGCAGGCTCAGAGAAGGCTTTGGCATTGGTGTAAGCAGCTCAATGTTCAACAAGAAGCAACACAAAGTGACTGACCTGACCTGCAGGTAAGAAACACCAGTTTGCTTCCCACAAGGTCAGTCCAGCCCTTCCAAAGCAAACACAGCCCCATGGCATTTGTTGTGCCTGTGTGGGCACACAGGACGGTGACTGTGCCCTTTTGGTCTGGGTTAGAAATGACATTAATGCATCCCACAGACACTTCTTCTACAGGAAACCTCCACTAAACCCTGCCCACATGCAATTCTCACCCTCTCAATACCTCAGAGCTTTCCTAACACTGAGAATTTCCCTCCTCTAAGACAGCAAAAAGTAACTGAAGTTCCAACAGGAATAAAAACTCCAACACATTTGTGCTGGATGTTTTGGGGTGATGGTTTTAGATGATCTTCACACTTGATGTTTGTCCTCATCTTCACTGTCCTGTGAGATTGACTTGGGCACGTTTGTCACTGTAATTAAGCAACTCAGGGCAATAACAGCACAAGGCTCTGCAGCAGAATTTTCTCATTGCAGGAACTTTTAAACCTTGGGGCTATGAAACCATCCCTTCCTCCACAGCTCTGCACATCAACCAGCAAACCAACACGGGCAGCACCATCAGGGGCAGCAGATCTGAGGAGCAGCACCGGGATTGCACAGCAAGGTCAAAAACCCCAAGCCACCCCTGTTCTGGGAAGAGGAAGTGGGACTGTTTGTACAATTTACCACTGAATTGTTACTTTCCATCTGCCAAACCAAAGAGCAAACAGTAGATTCTCACACTAAGATGGGTTTTATTTTTTACTAAAACCAGGTTCAATCTTCTGAATACTTATTAAAAACTCTTGGGAAGCTGTAGCAGCACTTCAGGAACATCCACAGCTGGGAGGGCACAGTCCCAGCTGCCAGTGCAGCTCCCACAGGCTCTGCAGAGGTGGCTGCCCCTGTGCTTTGTTTTGCTACATGACCGAAATGTGGATTAATGAACTCCAAAGCACTGCATTTAGGAGCCACCAGTTAAAGAACAGAGTTATTTGGGTTTTTTATTTGTTCTGGAGCTGTGTCCCTCAGCCTGTGCTGCACAGCTGGGATCAAACCCCATCCCAAACTGGTTCCTCAGGAGCTCTGTGCAGGCTGAGAAGCAGGGTCAGGGCTGCACAAAGTGCCCCAGCAGCCCCAAAGCACCGAGGCTGCTCTCTGCCTCTCACTGCCATCACTGTTAACACACCCACATTTTCTCACTCTCCTTGCCCAAAATTCTGCCCCACACACTGCCCAGGGAAGCGGCAGCTGGGCAGGATTACAGTGAGAGTGACCACAAAACCAGGACACAACGAGGAACCCTGAGCACACAGGAACCTCAACAGCCAAACCCAAGCAAGGATCACTTTGTGTCTGTCCCTCCTAAGCACTAATGTGAGGAACACCCCACTGGCACCACAGAGAGCTGTCCCTGCCACACAGCAACACCACCCAGACCACAGGATAACGGGATTTCCAGCTGATCTTGCAGAAAAGTATTCCAGAATAAATTCTTATCACTAGGCCAGTGATTACTCTATGAGCCCACCGTGGCAGCCTCTGTGAACTGCACAGTTTGACTTCCAAACATGACCCATAACAGATCCTGCACTGATACAACACTGGAGATGAACAGGTAAAGAAACTATTTCATCACTTCAAGGTTTGTAGGAAATGGACACTTCACAGAGGTTGCAAACAACTGGAAATCAACAAGGAAACAATTTGAAATTAACACTTTGAAAAGTACAACTGTATTTCCTAATGAGAACGTTTCCTCTTAGAAGGTGCAAATCCCCCATTCTGCTCAGTCCTTTCCCAGGAAAGACAGGGACACAGGGCCATTTACAAACACTGAGACTTGACACACCTTCAGTAAATATTTTCCTGTCACCCATGGGAGAGGCACAATTCAAAGGAACAGAGGAAAAGGTAAATGGTAAAATAGAAGCAGCACAGGATAAGGCAGGGCAGCCTAGCAGAGTGAACACTGATAGTTTCAGTTCCCATCCTGAGCACAACCCAACAAACCAGTTCCACTCCAAGAGTGAGTGCTCAGGGAGAGGAAGGTTTTGCAGAGATTATGGATCCTCCAGGTTCACTTTTTCACCAACAATTCCACTTATCTAAAACCAGTTTTAATATGAGTATTTTCCAACTTTGCTTTCAGAAAAATAAGACTTGAAGTTCTCAAACTTTGCTTCCATGCTGCATTGGACTAAACAACAAGTGACCTCAGATTATCAGAGAACTCCAATCCTATGTGGTCACAGCTTTTCTTATTCCCAGTCAGGGAGCTCTGTAGGACTGGCTGTGACCACAGCAAGGAGAAAAACAACAGCTACTGATGAAGTCCAGCATACAAACATTTTAAAGAGGTTTCACCAAACCTTTTGTGTTGACACTGCCCACCCAGGGCCAGTGCAGGCAGAGGTAAGGTGTGTTTTGGATGGAAGGTGTGTGCTGTGAGGCAGCAGCTGGAAGCACTGCTGTGAGTCAGTGTGTGCTCAGAATGGTGTCACTGCCTCGTCACCCTGAGCTGGGCTTTCTATCACCAACCTCAAAAGCAGAACTTCCAGGACATCTCAGTGTCCAAATAGCACCCAGTTCCTGTCCACAGAGATCTAAAGCAGAGAGATTCAAACCTCTGCTCACATCCTACCCACAGATGTTTACTGCCATTTCCTGTGCTGCTTCACCCCAAAGTTTCACATCCAAGCTGCACTGGGGCTGCTCTCCTCACTGCTGCAGGTGTTTGACAGACAGACAGACAGACAGAGCTGGCTGGACAGGCCGGGTGTCTGAAGTGATGCAATCACTCCTGACCTCTCAAAGCCCTAAGTTCACACACACCTCACTCTCACACCCACTGCTCCTGGTCACATTCACCACGGCCCAGAGGGACACCTCTGTCACCTGGAACATCATCCTGGTGGGCCACAACTGTATGAAATACACAGAGAAATAAAACAATTGTTCCTACTAATCCCTGCACTCAATCTGCTTTGTCCCATCCTCTCTGCATGTCCTTAACAAATCCCCCAGACAAAGCTCTGTTTGCACACGTTAAGACAACACCGAATTTTCAACTGCACCTGAGTCTTTAACAGGAAACCTGTGGATTTTTCCTGACTCCAGCTGGGCTGAGCTGTTCCTCCTGGCAGACACCAGTGGTGAATCAGAGGCCTCTTGACAAACTTTAAAGCATGAGGTGAGGCTGCTTCCCTGTGCACCTTTGTAAAGGTGTTTTGTGTTTGGTTTGTGAGTGCCAGAAAAAACAGCCACGTCTGTAACTGGGCTAGATAAGGGCATTTGGATGGAGTTTCCCACGGTGCTGCAGAAAGAAACAACTTGGGGTTTGTCTGAAAAAGGAGCTCAGAGACTCGTTTGTTTAGAGAGCCACGGGATTCAAATGGAAAACATGGAGCAAAAACTCTGGATCTTCAGGAAAAGTCATGGGCTAATATTGCTGTGAAGCCAGAAGTCAGGTATCACAGTCAGGGCAAGAAACACAACGTGTGTCACTCCCCTTAAACTCAGGCAAAGTCGTGAAACTGGAAAATGCAAAATATGCTTGTATTAAAACAAAACATACAGTGTTTGACCACCATCCTTCACTCTTACCCTGCACTTTCATAAAGCACATGCTCAGGAGCAAAATCCTTCCAAGCAGTTCGTAAATATAATAATTAAAAAAAATATATATATATATGACTACCAAAGCATTCACTGTGCATCTCTGCAAAGGCCACTGAAAGACTTGAACAGCCATCAAAACACGCTACAGTTTTCCCACCTACTATAACAACTGGCTACTTCATACCGTCCTTCGGGCTAGTTTATATCTGTAGAACCGTGTCATCGTTCAGACTTTTAACAACAAATTCCACTGAAACAACCGAGCCCACCGCCAGCGAAACGAAAGCACAGCGAGACCACAACAAAGTGCAGCACAACGCAACAGCACCGCAGCAAAACAACAGCGGAGCAACAACAAACCCTCGGCTGATGCGCAGCTCTTCCCGCGCGCAATAAAACCGCGTTCCTCGAGCTGCGGAGGCCGCGGCACGGTGACACCGAC